TTTCTTAACCTCGTTAAGCCTCGGTTTATAAAACTAGGATAATAATACCAATTTAAGTGGGCTGTTGTAGAAATTGAATTAATGCACAAATAAATGACAAATGTGAGCATTCTGCTAATGTTAGCTGATATTATTTGTGAAAATGTACTGAAATTCTCATATTTGATATGGGCTTAAATGCATAGGGAGTAGTTACCTCTGGGTAATGAAATTTATTTTTTAAACAAACATTTAAATTGAAGTATAAGACACAGTGACAAAAGTTTAAAGTGCATAACCTGATGATTTTTCACAAAGTGAACTTAGTTTATCTTTGTTTAAAAGAACATTTACCATCTCCCCTCCCCCCCACAAAAAAGCTATTAATAAAAACAATCACAACAGCAGCCACTTTCCCCACTTCTAGCAGCTCTGGGCTCTGACATCCTTGCTCTCTGTAAGTGTCCAAGGAGGTGGAACCTAGGAGGTGTTCAACTGACTCAACTCAATACACCTCTCATGCCACTGGCTTCCCTTTAGCTCCAGGAAAAAGAGCACAGTGCAAAAGCAAACCCAAACCAAGTCTGTGTCATTATGATTCTACTCAATGTCCAGTTTAGTAACTCTGGAGCTCATTTTAAAAATGACCATTATCAGTAACATTTATAATGTGTCTACCATGAGTACAGAGTTCAGTTGGGGTAACTGTACCCCATTCATCACCCTCAACAAACCCAAATTACTCTCCACAGCAAAGTTCCTTGTAAAACCAAACAGCTTTTATAAAATAATAGGTGAGAGACTTTTTTTTTTTCCTCCTCCTTTTAGAGGAATTGAGAGTGAAGTCAGTGACTCAAATGCTGGCTCAAGCAATGTTAGATGCAATTAACTATGAGTATTTCAGTATAGGATGATTTGCAAAGTGGTAATATTAAGAGAGATTTTATTATAATCACAATAGCAAATATTCCAACATTTACCCCATTACAATTTGGTGAGAGAGAACCCTGAACCTTGAAAAATTTTTAGCTCTATCAAAAATTATTTGCCTTCTACCATTGTTGTTTTTTCATCAAGTTCTATATCAAAACTCCCTTTTGTAATAGCAATTAAAACTATATCTCCTTTAGAGTTACATTATCTCAAAAATTTGTCTTAAGACTTCCAGAAAGAAAATTTAAAAGATGAATTAAAAAGTTTTCAAATTTTACCAATACCTACCAACTTAGAAAATTCTATGCTTTGGGGTTTTTTTTGTTTTTTGGCGGCAGCTGGCCAGTATGGGGATCCGAATCTTTGACCCTAGTGTTATCAGCACCACGCTCTCCCAAGTGAGCTAACTGGCCATCCCCCAACCCACAAAATTCTAGAAAACACAAAATAAGCAAGCACACATTCCATTAACCATCAGAGCAATGATGTCTCCATGTCACGTAGGCTCTGGAAAACTCCTCTGTACACTTGTGGGAGAATGAGAGTGAAAAATCAAATAACTTGTAAAAAATTACTTAACAATACAATATATGCTTAAATGCACAGGGAGTAGCAACTTTTGAATTCTTTTTTTTTTTTTTTTCCTTTTTTGTCTTTTTCGTGTCCGGCAATGGATCGCAACCCTCAGTGTCACGCCCGTACCGGACCGGGACCGGCAACGGGATCGCGACCCTCGGTGTCGCACCCGCACCCCACTCAGCCAGGGAGCGGGAACCGGGCTGGCGGG